AACTCTCATCCACAAGATGGCAGCAACCGTATAATGCTATTACATTTATTTTTAAGACTGCTATCAATATAATAGCATTGGATACTTATCTGGCAGAAAGCTATAAGGAGATTTAAACACAAATATTCCCTTACTGAAAAGCCACGCTTACCTGTTCTCTGCCAGCGATGAACCTTTCCGATCGTTCCAAACTGCTTATATTGTAAAAATCATCCATGCTCCAACCATTGCCATCTCAAAACCTAGCTGTCTTAGAAAATAGTATCTGTTCAGAGGATTTTCCTAATTCTTTGCATTTTTCTGTATTTTTTCATCATTTTTTACAAGCTTTTCAGTCCCTGAAAGCAGCAAAATGAAAGCAAGAAGTGTACTGCTTTACCTGTCTCTACCGTGTGCTGAAGTCTCATAATCTTTTTCCAACACAACAAATATTATTGAGTAATCCAAATCTACTGGCTTTTGCATGCCTTTCTGAAGAAAAGCAAAACACCAATCTAGAGCTCCACTCTCACTGAATAAATGTTTTCAATTCTATTCTATTCTGTTTCAAGCAACAAATTCAGGCCACATTTAGCAGTCCTGGTATATAAATTCAGTAGTTTATTTAGTGCATCAAAATACAAAGTTGGGTTGACATGATGCAACTAGTTACATAAACCAAGTTTTTCGTATCTTACGCATTTCTGAATGTTTAACAGTAGGGGTTCAACTATTCAGTCCAAACACAAGGAGCTTATTGTGCTCTTCTAGCTGTGAGCATCTCCCGGATATTATCTTCAGCTTCTTTTACACTTCGTTCCAAATATGATTTCCTTTGCTGAAAGACAAAAAAATAATAGTGCAGTAGTGGTAATAGTAACAACAAGAGAATATAAGATAGGGAGAGATAGGCCAGCAGGCGTTGGAATTAGCAAGAAAACAGACTAAGATTCACTTAGCAAAATCTTTTTAAGCACTGCAAATCAAACTCTGCTCTGAACTTTCCACACTGGTAAATGAGAATTGTCAAAATCATATTTAATAAAATGTTTTTTTCATGCATTTGACAAAGTCACATTAAAGATTAAACTATTCTTCTGACACAGAAGTATCTAAAATATATACATATCCATATACAAAGAAAAATATATACAGTATTTTACAATGACCCAAAAATACTCAAGAAATAATTATATTTTATAACTTTATTAAATGTATAAAGAAATATAAAAACAGAAATAATTAAGAAAAAGAGAAAAAGAAAACACTCTCTTTCATCTTAAGAAATGAAAGCTATAAAGACTTCAGCATATCCTAAGGAGTAGGTGACGCTTGCAAATTGTTTTGAAGCCTGGTTATGGAGTACAAACATTTTCCTCCTTTTTCTATAGAAATCAACTGGGGGCAACAGTTATTTATTTTTTTTTAAAAAATGAAAAGGGTACTTAGCTGCTCCTCGCTTTACTTATACTTGGCAGACAAGGTTCTTATTCTTTTTCATATTGTAAATTCCAAATAAAGTCAGTCCAACCAAGACAGTTCTTTAGCAATCCTAGTCTCCCTCTGTTATCCCTCTTCAAAAGTAGTCAGATGCAGAATGTGCCAAGTGCTGCTAAAATGCCTTATGATTTGCTCCAAAACTCCACCGAAGCTCAGCATTAACCCACTCAGCCTAAGTCAGGAACAGCAGGGATATGAATGCTGCTTAGCAGTCCAAGTAGGAAAAATAATAATCGAAAGATAACTGATGGAAAGAGGCAAGATAGGATTCCATTCACCTAGAGCAGGGATGGCAAACCTTTTAGAGACCGAGTGCCCAAACTGCAACCCAAAACCCACTTATGCATCGTCGGGTGCCGGGTGGGTGTGGCCCATTGGTTGGGTGTGGCCCATTGGGTGGGCGTGGCTGCGATGGTAACAGCAGACTGGGTGGAACTAAAAAGTTCAATCAATCAATTCCAACTTTGCAAGATTTTTTTTTCCTGCAAGAAGTTGAAATTGACTGATTGATTGAACCTTTTTTTTTGTACACAGCGGTGGAGGCCTAAAGCCAAAAGGTTTTATAAAATCCAGCTGAAGGCGTAGGATTGGGGAGACTGCGCGCGTGCCCACAGAGAGGGCTCTGAGTGCCGCCTCTGGCACCCGTGCCATAGGTTCGCCACCACTGACCTAAAGCCACATGGAAGATTCTAAAAGAGCACCACATAGAAGAGGTACATTTTGTTCAAATCATGTCTTGCTTCAAGCACTTCATACTCAAACTATTTTGCACAACCTTTTTTCAGACTTCCCGGTGTGAGGCTCACTTCCCAAACCCTTTAGAGGGCACTGCTGAACCACATCCAAAGTCAGGTGCTATCACAACTATCCTACTCAGAGTGGGGGGAAGAGAGAGGGAGAGAGAAAGGGAGGGAGGGAGGGAGGGAGAGGGAGACTCTATCCCCTTTTTCCTAAGAGCAACCTTGCAGCCCTTCACCCCTCCATACTACTTCTTTCATTTTTCTTTCTTCTCCTATTTGGAATACCATGATAATCTTAAACTGATTGCCTCTTGAAGCCATTCTGTCTCCAGCTACTGTGAATTCTGACTTTACCTATAAGCCACTTTCACAATTTCTTTAATATAGGTAGTCCTCGACTTACAACATAGTGACCGTTCAAAGTTACAGCGGTACTAAAAAATGTGACTTATGACCGTTTTTCATAGTTACAACCTTTGCAGCATCCCCATGACCATGTGATCAAAATTCAGATGCTTGGCAACTGGCTCATATTTATGACCTTTGCTGTGTCCCAAGGTCATGTGATCACTTTTTGCAAACTTCTGAGAAGATAAGTGAATGGAGAAACCAGATTCAATTAACAACCAGGTTTCTAACTTATCAACTGCAGTGATTTACTTAACAACTGTGGCAAGAAAAGTTGTAAAATGGGGCAAAACTCATTTTACAACAGAAATTTGGGGCTCAATTATGGTCGAAAGTCGAGGACTACCTGTATTAGACTATATTAGACATATCATTAGGCAGGTAACATTTTCTAATTTTAGTTTCAAGTACTTCCATCTGAGTACACGTAACTAAGCATGAAAAGTCTTTAGAAATCTTCAATCAAAAAATAAACCTTATGGCAACTTTGAATTAATTCAATATGACTTTTATAATTCACGAGACTGAAGAAATAGAATTCCTTATTAAAAGATACTGCACAATATTGTGCTGATACATTATTCTTATCAGAGGATCACAGATATAATTCTTCATGAAATAAGCTTTTTGGGAGAACATAATCTCAGCTAAAAACTGAGCTGGCCATAGTGTATGATGACTTTGTGCAAGTTAATAGGCAATGAATATAAATCAATGAACACATCCAAGACACTCTTTCTTCAGCAAGATTGCACTAAATTTTGTTTAGGAAATAACAACAACAACAATAATAATAAAGCTGGAAGGGACCTTGGAGGTCATCTAGTCCAACCCCCTGTTCAGGCAGGAAACACTATACATTTCAGACAAATGGCTGTCCAGTCTCTTCTTAAAAACCTCCAGTGTTGGAGCATTCACCGCTTCTGGAGGCAGGTTGTTCCACTGATTAATTGTTCTAACTGTCATGAAATTTCTCCTTAGTTCTAGGTTGCTTTTCTCTTTGGTTAGTTTCCATCCGTGTAAAGTATACAACAAAACTGGCTAAGAGAAGAATCCAGGGTAGATATGGCATACATGGCTAGTTTTGTGGCTCACAACTTCAATCAGGTAACATGCTACTTTCAGTACATTTCTATGAGAATATCAAATTTCAATACACAGTAAAATCTATAAGTAATTGCATTTAGACAAGAAAGAATTCAGACAAGTCACTCTGCAGGAATTCCACACACCCAGGAAGTATCAATGAGTCAGACTTCAGAATGTCAGATTTCTGAAAACTATTGTTTTAATAGGACTCTTACCAGGCAGTCATTGAGTTACAATCATTCATTCACCAATTGTTCAATCATTCATACCACTGAAGGGATGAAGGGATGTTACGAGTGTTGCAATGTCTGCAATGTCACATTCAGGTGCTTGGCAACTAGCTTGTACTTACATGCCCTCTTCCCTCGGCTTCCCTGTGATTGCAATACACATGAACCCTATACTCTTTCCACAGCTTCTCTGTGCTCACACACACACACACACACATGTACCTCATGCACTCTTTCCTTGGTCTCCCTGTGATCACACAGGCACACATACACACACATGTAGACACATGCACTCTTTCCACAGCCTTCCTGCAATTGCACACTCACAAGCCTCACACACGCCCTTTCCATGGTCCCTCACACACAGGGAGATGACCCTCCCTGCATTCGCACACCACAGTCTCCCTGCAATCACATGCACCCTGCACCCAAATTCCCCAGCCTTTCTAAGCTTGCACCACAAGGGGCACCCCCTCCCTCTCCTGCATGGCCTATGCTGGCCCTCCCCAAAATCTTTGCCTCACTCCTGCACTTCTTACCGAGTCCCTCTGCTTCTTTCTTAATGACCCAACATATCCTGGGATTAGGTAATTAGAACTGCCTGGATTGCCATTTGACGTGATCACAGGACATCCCACTTTACTACCATGTCCCTTAGCAACACCGGTCCCGGCCCCAGTTTTAACTTAAGGACTGCCTGGATATGTGCTTATTATGCCAAATACTAAACTAGTTAGGATGGTGACTGGTGGACCTCAGGTTCCTGTTTAAATATAAAATAAGCCTTGTTACTAGGAATTTTGCCATTATATCACCTTTGTATTTATTTACTTATTCATCAAATTCATATGGCCACCATCTCACAAAAAGCAACTCTGGAAAGCATACAACAATTGAACAAAACCATACATAAAAATAATCATTATAAAAATATAAAAACATTAAAAATTAAAATACTAAAAAAATTAAATATACAAAACACATGGAGTAAATATATCAACCACAGAAGAGTCATCCAAGAATGTCTCTGGTTCCCTGGCATCCCCCAGACCATGTGACATAATCAGGTCTTGAGGAACTGCTGGAACATTTAACAGAGATGGAGCTAACCTGAGTTGGTATCTTTTCTCTGTCCAATCTAATGGGATGGGCTGATGTAATTGGGGAGAGATGGTCCCTCAGAAGAACCCAGTCCCATAGGCCATTAAGGGCTTTAAATGTTAAAAACTGCTCTTAAATTGGACCTGGAAGCAGACTGGCAGCCAATGCAGTTCATGGAACAGAAGTGTGATATGTGCTCTTCTGGAAATTGCCCCAGCTGAAGTTTCCAGATACTCTTCAACAGCAGCTACATATAGAGCTTATTACAGATAGGCCAATATGCAGATGACTAGGACATGAGTGACTGAGCAGAGCCTCCCGATCCAGGAATGGGCCCAACTGGAGCACTAGATGAAGCTGTGCAAAGGTCTCCAAGCCACGACTGCCACCTGCTCTTTGAACAAGAATTCTGAATTTGGAAGGAACCCCAGACTGAACAATAGGTCTGTCTATCAGGGGAACCTCTAGGAGCGCCAACACAATCTGGTAAGTCTGAAAGAACAAACTTCCCAACTGTTGCTTTTAATTACTTGATCCATTAGATCCATCAGAATGAAACTGTCAAAAGAAGTGTCAGAGCTGCCGATGCTTCGCTAGATGCCAGTCTGTCATAAGCCATGGGGAGAGGGAGCTGTGGGGAGACAAGGAGACAGACCGAAAGGAAGACAGGGGGAAATCGAAAGCAATCTTTCTGCCATCTGAGACATCCCAAAGTTGAGGACATGGGAACGGAATGTAACACCTCTGCATCTATCCAACCTTTGCAGGGA